TATCTATCTATCTATCTATCTATCTATATATATATATATATATATATATATATATATATATATATATTTAATATCATTCATGTGTTATATATTTGTGAATGTTTGTCTTAAATATAGATCGATATAGATCACTCAGTAAATGTCAAAACAGATTCATTAGAAATGTTTTTACCCATAATATTATTAATGTATTGGATTCCTCTATCAAGGGTATCTCTTTTAGGAGGAAAACAACGCATAAACTGAAGAACATGCAGTATTTATCATCCACCCCTTCCTGCAAAAAAATTACTGAAAACATTATAAAAATCAATTTGAAACAAAGTACACTTGTTGCGTTTGCATAACAGCTATTTATCATCTAGATCAATGTTAGAAGTCCACAAGTTGCCAGTAGTTTCCCAGATATGAATCATGGCCAAACATTTCGTTTACTCTGTTTTCATTTATTCACTGAGTTTAAAACTTTCTAAAATATTTCTCGCTCTTATTTAAACGTAGAATTGAATACCCTGAATAACTATAATGTCTTAGACATCAGGAATTTGATTTGGCAATGTTTGGCCTAAGGGATTTCTATACAAGGCCTCTAGTTATGGTATTTCTAGAAGATTAAAACCTGGCGTGATCAGCGTTCTCCAGCACTAGACCGCATGAGATATGACCCAATATAATGCGACACGTAAGACAAAAAAAAAAAAAATCCAAGGTAGTTTTATTGAAATTATGCCTACTTTTTCACCAGAGAAAATACGTTTGAGAATAGAAATTTTGAATTTGGCTTTTTAGAGAAATTTATAATGTTTATTGGTTCCGTTTAATCTTTACTTCAACTCTATACGTCTTACGTCTCAAACTGAGCTCTGGAACTTTATTCACAAGTGATTTTTTTCTTCTCACCTAATAGAAGTGAATAATTTCGTCTATCGTCTGCTTCACATTTATTCTCGTTTTTTTATTTTTTTGTTTTTTTTTAACAAGAGTAAAGCTTTATCCCCATTTCCTGTTTATGGTAGGATTTCCGGTTCTTTCTAAAGTCTACATCAACTCTATATGTCTAACGTCTCCAACTGAATTGCTATTCACTAATTGATTTTGACCTGTTCAAGTCAAGAGTTAACCGTTATCTTTTCTTCATAATCCTAAGAACTTTACTTATGGCGCTTTCTTTTTCCTCATAAAACACCACACAGTAGCTCTCTACCACGTGTGGCTTTTGGGACTTGTATTTTATTAAAAAAATATCTAAAACACATTTTTTTAAATAAAGATATTGTTTTTCAGATAATAAAAAAAATATTATGAACGTTTCCTATGTTTACTTGAAATGATGCTTACTCGTATGACATTCCATAGTAAACATCTCTGTTGTTTAAATGGCGAAAGTTTCCTTCAAGAAAATACTTTTTAATAAAAAAAAATTTATATATATATATATATATTTTATATATATATATATATATATATATATATATATATATATATATATATATATATATCTGATTGAGAGTGAATGAACAAATTGAACAGGAAATGTAACACGATTTTAGTAAATTCTATTTTCCTCATGAATTAGGCATGAGTTTCAGAAAGTTAAATGGGTCTCATGCTTGCCGGTCGCAATTTGGACTTTACTGGTTTAAGCCATCATCGAGTTCGTTCTCTCAAGTATTTCCATGAAGGTAATTAGGAAGTCCAGTCTTCTGATTCTTATAATACCAATACGGATGCTTCAGGCGGTTCCTTTCTCTCGCCTATGCATTTTTGCTTTCCATTATCGATCCGCCAGTGAAACTTTCTCAGATCATTGATAAATATGCATCTAGATGACAGTAATATGTACACACTAAATCCAAGAAGAGAAGAGGCTTGCAGCCGATCTCTCCTTTGGTCTTGCCCGAACAGATCATTGGGAAAATTACTGGCCTGTAGTATTTAATACCTCAACACCATAACTAGTCTCCTTATTATAGATCAGATCCTGAGTGTTTTATCTTCTCATTGAATAGTTCCATAATGAATATCACCATGCTTTCAACGCTTCTTGAATTTCACGTTCATTCCAAACTTCAGTCAAAGATGCTGGAAGAAAAGCTTTCAAGTCGGTCTATCAATATATCAGAAATATCTGACACATTCTGACACGTATTTTTTTCTTTAATCATTTCATCTCAAACAAGGCAAATAATGCCACGAAATTGCAAGGGAGTGAAAAAAAAAATGAAAAGAATATAGAAGGAACCGGAAACCCAATCTGAAACTGGAAACAAAGAATAAACCTCTACTCATGTTCAAAAGAACGACGATGGTGTGAACCGGACGATATCATGTGACCATTTGGTTGATGTCTTGTTTTATACTCTTCTATCTTTTCCCAAAGACAAAACGTCTGTCGCTATTCTGTCGTTACTTCCATGGTTAACAACTGCCATTTCTGATAAAATATAGATCCTGCAAAATTTACTGTAAATTTTATCTATACTCATAATCTAATGATAACACAAATATTTTTCCAAGAACTTGATTCAGAAAGACAGAAGAAGTGACTGACATTACATAATTAATCTTTAAAGACTGAAGGTGATAAGAACTAAGAAACTAGAAGTTATTTCCTCAAAAGGGAAGTGCTAAAAAAATAAACTATTGCAATAGAACTTACGGTTGCATCTAGCTAATTAAGCAATAAAACGATGAGACCTAATTGCCAATCAAGTAGTACGCTTAATTTCTCTCAGTCGAGGTGCCAAGCGGGGAAGGTCTCATTTGAAGAACCGCCTTGAAAAAAATGATAGAAATACACAGAAGTAACCTGCGTCACGGCGTTGGGAAAGTGATTTGTGTCTAGATGCGAGGCCATGACGATATCATTAGAGAACCTTCTTTGGATTTAGCTGAGGATTTCGAGGTATACAGCAAGATCACCAGACTAGATCGGGCAGAAATATTTAATGAATAGAAGAATGGTGGATTTAGAAATGTACAAAATTTATTCAGACGAGAAAAGATTTCGGGCACGATACAGGGACCCAATTTTTTAACAGCGTACCTACTAATTAATTCAATGTAATATATTTTCATATATATATATATAGAGAGAGAGAGATATAGATATATAGATAGATATAGATAGATATATTTATATATATATAATTATGTAAAATGAGATTGATTAATAGATTAATCTGTGTAAAACCTAAGACCAAAACTGCAGCATATATAAACACACACACGCACACACATATATATATAGAGAGAGAGAGAGAGCGAGACAGACAGAAACAGAGACAGAGACAGACAGAGAGAGGAAAAAAATAAAAAATTAACTCATGTGGGTACATTCTATTTCAAACCGGTACAAACTTATACCGCCCTAGACTGACTGTCCCGGAAATAGGGGTTTTGAATTTGGTTTAGATAGCAGTCGGATGGACATCCTTTAAATGAGGAGACTGGCTGATGACAAGGTGATGGTGTGAGGTATCTGTCTAAGAAGAGATGAGCCGGGATAGGAGTTTATTTATGAACAAAGCCTTTAGTTGTATATAAATCATTTTAGGTTCCTGCTAGGTGATACCAAACTATACCAACCGTATATATATTTTAATAGGATTGACAATAAATTGTATTTCGACAATAAAGGTTTTATATCATGAAGTGATGGGTGATTTAAAGATAAAATAATTTAAAGTTAGAATAAATTATCTAAATAAAAAGATTGGTAATTGAAACCAATGGCGATGTTATTGAAGAAATTTACCTTAGTATTTCAAGATATTTGTCAGTAATTACAGTAAATATATCTGTTAAAATGAAAGGTCAGTGTTATTTTAATTTTTGCGTAATTGAGACATTATTTTATCCGTTGTACCCTTTATCTATCTATGTATCTATCTATCTATCTATCTATCTATCTATATATATATATATATATATATATATATATATATATACGGATAGAAATGTAAAAGGACGATTGAAAACAGCTCCGCCTAAAAAGGTATGGACAGCAGTATTTTTGTGTTTTATTGGCTTTTACTACCTTGCATGTACTAAAATTCGATATATATATATATATATATATATATATATATATATATATATAATATATATATATAAAGCAATTTATCATTAAATAAATAGACACAATATAGAAATTATTTAATTAAAATAAATAGACACAAAATTATATATTATTTATATATATATATTAATATAAAAATATATATATATATATATATATATATATATATATATATATATATGTTGCAAATCCTAAACTAAAATATTAACCGTAAAACAAGAGTCAATTTCTTAAATCGACTCGTCACTTCTAGACTACCCTATGGATGCCATGCATCGTATCCAACTTCTTCTGAAATGTTTAAATAATCAGCTATATTGAACCGTTTTCTCAGACCAATGATTATAAATGACATTAATATTAAAGAAAATATTCACATGAATATTATATACGGATGCTACAGTACGAGATATAATGAGCTTTACAAAATAACAAAATCTTATCATTTGAAGATGTCCAAAAACAGTTACAACTAAAATATATAGCAGACGTAATTAGAATGGAAAATAACGATATCATCAAGACTTTGAGTTTTCTCATTACTGCAAACAAAAGTTTGAAAAGTAACTGATATCACTATTAGGAAGAGAAATAACATTTAGTGGCCTAATTTGCTTCAGAATATATCGATATAAATTAATGGATGAATAGATATGGAAATAAATATATATATATAGTATGAAATATATAGATTGAATGATAGATATAAAAACAAGTATATACCAAATGAGATAGATAGATAGATAGATAGATAGATAGATAGATAGATGGGGAAACAAATATATGGCGAAACCAAAATAGATTAATACATAACATATACAAAAAGAATGATACACAATCAAATATATATATATATATATATATATATATATATATATATATATATATATATATATAGTGTGTGTGTGTGTGTGTGTACATGTATATAGTTAGATAGATAGATAGAGAGATAGAGAGATAGATAAATAGATAGATTGATTGCTAGATAGATAGATGAGGAAATATGCCAAAATAAATTAATAGAAACCTCTTTACAGAAATAAATTAATAGATAAATAAATATTTCAAATTATGTAAAATGAGATACGAACCGGCTGAGATAGATAGAAAGATAGATGGATTAGATGCAGAATGAGAGAGATATGTATAGACATAGATAGATAGATATATAGATAGATAGATAGATACGAACAGGCTTAGATAGATATATAGATTAGATGCAGAATGATATATATATATAGACATAGATAGATAGATAGATAGATAGATAGATAGATAGATAGATTAGAACATGCTGAGATAATATATGGCACGAAAGCGACGTAGATATAAACAGTCGAATGTTAATAGGCAAATATAGGCATCCATACTTGCATAAACTGCACGTGGCAATTATGTTTGCAAGAGTCTTATTTTATTTACCCTTTGTTATTTCGTTCTGTTTTTGTATTCTTTTATTAATGCTGTTTGCTTAGATTAGGTTTGGTTGCGTTGGAAAGTAAGATGCTATCTCTTCATCGAGAAGAGTGGATGGCAGGGAACGACAAGGAACACTGCAGGAGACATCTTCCATCAAGATAAGCCGATGAACGATAAAGAATTTAAGGCGTGAGAATCCCAATTGAGCAACGTTCAGTATCATGGAATTTTCGCGTCACAGTCACAACGTACTAGGTCGCTCTAACCCCAGCTCACATGAGAGGCGACCCTCAACGGAGTGATGGCTTCCGGGTAAAATATTCCGATACAATGACGAAAATTCAGTTTAATAATTTCTATTTGCGTAACTCATTTTGACAAAAAACCAAGGTCATTCGCCAGCGTTCTGATTAAATGATTAATCTCGAAGACGATTTCATTAACAGAACTAACACAATTAACGACATTTTTAATCATCCAATTAATTTTGGTTTTCCCAGTTTATTTATTTATTTTTTTTTAATTTTTTTTGGAGATGGTGGGGGCTTCTTAAAAAAATAATAATGGTGATTATAATACTCAGTTAATATCTGATCTTACGTATATGTATATGAATTTTGACCCTACCGTGTCGTGATACTTTTTTACGTGGCATCATCCTTCAGAGCATGGATGTTCATGGCACTCCACAATATCCTATCCCATGTAGCCCTTACTAACGATTGTCACATTACCAGAAACCCCTTACCCGGTTTTGCTATCCATTCGCACAGACACGTTAGTTTGTTGGCCCGTTGACTTTCACTTTCACTCTTCTCGATATACCCTGTGAGTGTCAAATTCTCTAAGCCCTCATTCCTCATTATATGCCCAAAAATTGCAGCTGCCTCTTTTCTATTCTGAATATAAGTCTCCATCTTTTACCATTTACCTTAAAACTTAATCGTTGCTTACGCTCTCTGTCAGTGGAAATATTTGTATCCCTTTATTGAACCATATGTCTAATTTTCTGTTTTCCTTCAAATAATTTGCTCTTGCTGTTTTAACTTCAGCTTTTAACTAAAATGGGTAGTCCATCAAGCAAAGAAAGGTTACCGGATTGATTGGATGATTTCTTCGAGAAATATATTCGTATCCTCGAATTGCCAGGTCCACGGAACAGGCAATAATGAATGTCACATAGAGCGAAGAAATCATCTAAAGATCTTAGGTATAAGCCCGCTTCATAATTTTGAGCCCCTCACTAAAGGGACCACACACAATGTACAATGTTTCGGTTACGAATGATAATGTTTATATATCGTCTCAAGTATAAACGCCTTTCTTTGCTTCTAACGAAATTCACCGAGTTGAAAAAATAAATAAATCAGACATGTTTGAAATTTTTCGTCCTTTTGAAATACGATATAATTTATAGAGTCAGGTACTACATAAATGTAAAAAAAAAAAAAAAAAAAGGATACGGTGGTGTTTTTTTTTTTTTATTGGCCTGTGAATTCAGGAATCAACAAGGTGGTGAGATACGCTGTTAGATAAAGATTTTCTCTCTTCAACATTTTTCATTGAGAATTTTCGCCTTTTAGGATATGGGTTTGCAATGCTAGGACTGGGAAGTCACTCAATTCTTTCACCCTCTACGTCATTGGCAAATAATCAGCAAAATTCCCCTACTTGGAATAATAAAATTACCCAAAACAGATTACATGCGACTGCTATTTAATACTGCGAAAAAGACTTTCCGCTGATGAAGAAGTATTTGATTTAACTTTCATAACACGGTCAATTCAACTTTGCTATATTAGCCTGAAGTCAACCTTTCAGACTAACGCGGTGACAGAACCAATGCGGCCCACTACACAATAACAAGAGTAGTCACTAAAGACTGGTTTGTTTTATGGCATATCAATCTCAAAGACTTAATTAGTGCCAACAATTATATATATATATATATATATATATATATATATATATATATATATATATATATATATATATATATATATTAAAAAGAAGAGAGAAACCGCAAACGTTTTTGGTTGTAATGTTTATTCTTTAAAAGAAATATTATACTTTATTTTCCATAATTTTGCTACACGTGTTTCCGGTCTGGAGACCTTGATCAGGCAAAGCGTGGAGATTTACACATATTATTAAAATACTTTTTCTTATGTTTTTCGATGTTAAATATTCTCGATATGAGACATTCTGTTTTTTAGAGAGTTAGTGACCCAAATGTCTTTCTTGAACTGGCAGTGAAAAGTTCAGCGGGAACGGTTATAAAACAATTCTAGGACAAATCCTAATTATTTTATAACCCTTCACGCAGAACTTTTGACTGCCAGTTCAAGAAAGACATTTGGGGTCACTAACACACTAAAAAAGAGATTGTTTCATATCGAGAATATTTAACATCGAAAAACAAAAGAAAAAGTAATTTTTCACTGAACAGTTTTGAAAAAACAAAATCACACGCAATTTAAACAGATAAAGCCCTTCGTAAGGCGGGTGTTGTACTTGTGAGTACAATGTTTTGTTTTTCTGTAAGGCATGGGCTACCAGGTATCCTTTCATTGGGTCTATTTTAATCTATTCCAATCAATCAGAGGGCTCCAACTCCAAATGGAATTGTTGATATCCTCATGTGCCATAATTTGAGATTGCGATTTCGTGGTCCTTGTATTTTGATAGGCTTTTGAAGATCTTCAAAGATACATTGCAGTTTGCAGGGACTGCCATGTCAATAAGAAAGCACATTTTGTCTTCTTGGTCTCTAATCACGATGTAAGGGCAATTAACTTTGATTGTTCCGTCTGTATTGTGAAGTTTCAAAAAATGTTACAGTTACTCTCTCCGTAACGGAGTCTGGGTAATGTTCATACCTATTTCTTTCATTCATATATATATATATATATATATATATATATATATATATATATATATATATATATATTAAGACATTCTTATGTTTATACATTTTTTTTATAGATACAAATATTTAAGTAAATGGTCTGTTTTATAATAAAAAAAATTACCGGCTTGAATGTCCGAGAAATATTCATAGAAAATATTCGTTTGCAGACAGGAATCGAACCTGCATCCTATACGGAACCATCATTTAGTTTGACGTGCCTTAACCGATCGAGCCACGATATATATATCGCCTGACGATTGCGGCCTGAGGATTGCTTCTAACATGAAACAGCCTGTCGCCTCAGAGTGTTGACTTCAATGTTCTCTTTTATATTTATTTATATACGCTCTCAATGTTCTCTTTTATATTTATATTTATTTATATACGCTCTGTCACTTATATTAAGCCCTTTATCCCATAAATATAGCACACCTTAAAACTATATATATATATATATATCATGCACATTTGTGTATATTCAACACCCACAGAGACAACCTGTGGTTTATGCTATAACTATGCTGAGCAGACATTAGTTACAGTTTCTGGGAGAGAGCGTGTCGTCTAACGTGATCAGCAATCTGAACATGGCTATCACACTCAACACCTCGGTCACGGTGAATTGTGACTTTGTGGTAGCACAGCTATCGACGGCCCCCAAAAGTTCGGTCTACTCAATTTCACTCACAAGGCTTAGGTCAACCCGTGGTATGGTTTTCATTTCCCCCTCCAGACCGATAACATCTCCTTCCTGAAATATAGATATGGTAAGATTCGAACTCGGGTTTCATGGTCAGAAAGCGGACGTTCTAACCACACGTCCTCAAATAAAATTTCGCTGTTCGTAGCATTTATTTTTTAATTTTTATTTTTATTTTTTAATGTGCTCCATTCCAAGTAGAGCAGTATATATTTATATATATATATTATTTATATATTAGGACAAAAATTAGTATTATTTATATTGTGTATAGATGTCCAACACTTTCAATTTTATGTACAGATCCTTTGAAGAAGCTTCCTAAATAAAAAATTAAAAAAATAAAAATAACTTCTGTTGAAATTAATTTTACGTCGGATTATCCGCTTTTCCATCCGCTCAACGTACTTTGAAAAATTGAACATGTCATACTTGTCTACAATCACAATACATTTGTTGCTTACATGTTTTCCGTAATTGTCAGTGATAATCTAAGTTCCGGTTAATTATGTCATAAAAAAAAAACTTCCCCACCTCCACCGTCTGAGATTAATTTTCTATTTAGCGTAGATCTGACATTTAATTGGTTGAACAAGACAAACCCAGAAGTCTATTTTTATTTATGGCCATGTCTTTTCTTATCTCCTTCTTTATCTATAGGCAAAGAGGTAACATTTTCCTTTTTAAATTTAAAAAAAAAAAAATTTAATCACCACTCAATTAAAATTCGTACAACTTAGGACCGAAACGCGAAAACTATTGTGTAGCGATTTCAACATGTAGTTTTATTCTAATATCTAAAATAAAATAATAATATATATACTAGCCGATTTACCCGCGCCTTGCTGTGTGTTACAGTTTTTGCAACAAAATGATGACTGGTTTTAAATCATTGCTAAAATCTGTGTAGAAAAATGATGCAGTTCAGTATTACTCAATTATCTTGCCGATATGACCTCCATCTTCTGGCTTTCTCCTTCTATATTTTGGATAGGAGTCGTTCACTTGTTCAAATTTAAATTTAATTTAAATCAAAGGAAGAAAAAATTATGTTGGGTTTGTGTGCAAAAAAAGTTTGATTTGACATTTTTTTATATATATTTGATGCAATAATTGATTGAATGAATTGATAAGCAGATTTCAACATTGATATGGCATTTGAATTTTTGCAATAAATATGTCACTGATTGGTGATTTCTTGCGTAACTTGACGTCCATTCTTTCTCATTGTGATCTTGCCGATGTGACCTCCATTTTCTGGATTTCTCCCTGTATATTTTGGATAGGAGTCATTCACTTGTTCAAATTTTAATTTAATTTAAATCAAAGGGACAAAACAATTCACTGGGGACTTGTGCTCTCCGGGAACTCACTTTGATCAAAATGAAATATACTTATCTAAATACTCTGGGTAGTTTCATAATATTTATGGTTATGGGGGCTACCTCAAAACCCTAGGAGGAGTTCGATAACAGACAAACAGAGGCTACAACTTTATATATATATATATATATATATATATATATATATATATATATATATATATATATATCAGTTATGAAAAACTTGGTAATCCGTAACGGTTATCCTCCTTGGGATACTTTAAGGTTCC